ACGGATGGGGATGCATTCACAATCACTTCAGGTTCAGCCATATCCCCAGAAATTATCTCACCAATGGCATGTGCTACCATGAATGCACTGCAAAATAGATAACGAGAAAACAATTAGTGCCAATGAGATAAAATACAACAATCGCTAATGGAGAGACAATGGATAATGCTGGTTCACCATCATTTGACGTTTCAAATACGATTCATTAATTCAAGGGTAGTCAGACCAAAAGAAAAGGCAAGTAAATGATTCTAGATGAAATAAATTACAAGCCAGCACAATCTGGAGACTATTACTCCATAGCTACAAGCCTAATGCACAACTATCCCTGTTAGTCTAAATTATATCTCTCTGGACTGGAAAAGATAATCTCACAAAGAACAAATGGATAGGACATCACGCTGAATTTTCAACGTGATAGAAAATTTTGCCTTTTGGTTAAGGAAGGTAATAATACTTGGCATATCCAAAATGGAACATGATATGAGAAAAACACTCCCATAGATCAAAACCAGTCTTCAAGTCGCATTCAACATTTTAACCATGAGAAAGCATTCTTCAATTGTTTCCTTTAACTTATACAACAATCCAGTTAGGCTAGACAGAACTATTAACAAGAAGAATAAGTTAATGACTATCTAGTGCACAACAAGAGAGTACAGAGTATACTGATGATTTGATGCCATAGAACACAGAGAGAGAGATTTCTAATGTCTCCTAACTAATAAGATGAGTAACTTACCATACCCTGTGACTGATGGAAGATCAAGCAGGAGCGAAGATAAACTTCCATCCACTCCTCCAACAGCATTGCCACAATCAGATCTTTTACATAGTTCCTTATATGAATTTAAATGTCCAAGCTCAACCAAAGGCAGTACAAGGATGCAGAACTGGCTCTTCATATGCAGAATCAAAGGCCACAACAGATAATTCTCTCTTGCCTCTTCTTTGTTAATGTAAATGCTAATGACATGACGTGTAACTGGATCATCTACCCAAGAATCTGAACCTTCAGCAGACTGAGACACGCGTATGCCAAATCCACGAACAGATCCTTCTCTAGATATAGATGGAAGATGTCAAATTAATAGAAAATTATTTAAGTTACATGAGAGTAAAAACAGATAAATATGTGTTCTCAATAACTATGCAAGACTAATAACCATCTAATCCAGTTATCATTATTTAGACTGGGTATGTAATACCAGTGCATAATTTTACGGAGTGATGCACATACTATTAACAGATCACAACCAAATCAACTCTGAACTTTATACAACTAAAGCTCACTTATTTTGTCCATTCTCACAAAGCATTTTTTCTCAAGAATGCAACCACTTCCTCATATAGTCAATAATGAAACCCATGGCATTTGAACAAGAGTGACTCTAGCATCCACTAAACATTCACATTCCTTAACTAGGCAAATTATGAGCCACTATTATAGCAACTTAAGGGAACAAACGCCAAGCATCAATTCTTGGAGATAAGACAGAGATATAATGTGCAAATGATTGTTCCTGGAGGCTAGCTACATCAGACATACATCAGCAAACAACATGCAAATGCAGTTTTAACATAGGAAAATGATAGAAGTCTTCGGTTTGTGTAGAAATATAAGCAAACATCCAAGTAAACTCATCAAGTGAAATACCAAGGAGCTCTCAACTCATTGTAGTAACATCTTGACAAACCTCTTCTTTCTCTCTGCAAATGAAGAAGCCAACTCCGAATCAGACGGCAAATACGGCAACGCTGCGCTGTCAACACTGCCGCCATTGCGCTCGTTCTCGCTTCTGCAAGCCGCCCGCCACTGTTTCTCCACCACTGGAAATCTCCTGTTATCACATCCAGTCAAAAGAAGAAACATAAAAAACTCCCATCAGCAAACAATCCACAACAGTAAACCAAACACTCTAAAGTTCGAGCCATTTGCAGGGGAGATGGTTTTGTCATTGTTGCGGTCCCCTGACTCAATCCATTCTACAAAGCACAGAGGTTAACACTACTCGGGGGCCTTCGCAAGAAATCCAAGCCCTTCTCTAAGTACAATATTAAGAGCTACCCAGCAAGCCACAACGCAAACCACACTAACCCAACTTTTCACATTCACACAGCAAGCAATCACTACACACTTTAACCAACAATTTAACCAAGTGGTCACAGCAAGCGGCCAACAGGAGGTCACTGCCCCATCAATCACTTTGCAAACCAAATTCCCAAACCAGTCTTCGCTGCACACAGCATTATCCAATCGAAAAATCACCGGAATCGTAACGCGCGCACGGAATCAAACCGACCCAAGTCGCTAACCAGCATCGGCATCGAAAAAACTGGCAAACCCACCGGGAGTCCGAATGCAAACGCGTAAAGAACCGACGAGAGAGGGACCTGGAGAAGACGACGGCGTCGTGGGCGTTGAGGATCCAGAGAGCTCTGATGCCGCAACCGGTGGGCATGCTCGTGGAGTCTTCTTCTTCTTCCTCTACGCTGCGATCGGCTTTCGCTGGATTGGGAGAGAAGGCGAGAGAAGTCGAAGACTTCGAGGGATGAACCGGTGAAAATGAATCACATATGGAGCGGACGATGAGCATTCTAGTTTGATCGAAGAACAGTTAAAACGACAAGGCGTTGCGTCGAGCAGAGGGACTTTTGTTGTCGTTTGAACCGTTTTCTTCGGCTAGCGATCTGATCTATTTCCTTTTACCTGGATCTTGGTAATTTTTCCGCGCAAAGATTGCATCTACCTTTTCGATTTAGTCCACAACAAATTATTGATGTCCGGAAGAATTGCTCTTTCATGATACGTTCCAAAATAGATGGAATCAAACTTGAGATTTCACGCTTTTTGAGATACAAAATCTCGATTGTCCTCGTGACATAAATTTGACTTTTCAGTTAAGTACACGAGTTTATACTCCTAATTCATGTTATTCATGGAATTTTTTTTTTCTGGCAATTTTATCCTCTAAGTCCCTTGTTTGATAACAGGTCATTTTTTTTAATGATATTATTAGAATGAAGTCGTACAACAAAAAATACAGGTGTATCGCATTGAATAAGCTGACTCATTGATTGAGCTAGGACATGACTCGGCTCATCTTACGAAAGTTCGCTGCAGCAAATCGCGCAAAAGGGCACGTAAATAATTGGATAATTATCACATCGGATATCATTTTATACGAGCCGAGCGGTTAAAAAATAAACACCCCAAGGTTAAATTAAGTGTGGCAACAATTGAACATTAGAGGAGTATGAATATATGTAGTCACCTTGCGGATCAATAATGGGGGGAGCAGCATGAAGTATAATTCTACAATAACCAAAGTACGGGAGACAACCACCAAGGATGGTCGAGGTACCTAGGTATACTTGTGCAAGATGGACGTATGTCACTTTCTTTTGTGTAATTTGATTTGATCACTCCAATTTCTTAATCTAATGGGATGCAGGCAAAAGGGATTGTCTTCATCGCTCGAACTTGGGCATGCCACATCTATCAGTGGTAGAGCATTGTGTGAAATCACGTGAGGAAAAGGCATGGCAAAAATGGCCAAATTGATTGGGGTATAAGGGAATTATCAGCTCAGGAACTGCCACCAATTCAAATCCCGCGAGTTGCATGTAACTATTCCGAATCAGGGCCATCTGCACAGATAAAAAAATCTAGATTTTCAGAGTGTTTCACGAGTCTCAAAGTCGCCGGGTTCTATACTTGTACCCCCGAATTATAAAGAAAGGTACATCGCGACCTAAACTACGTTTTGACGCGACCGTGTTATGTGGAGTGAACTGAAGTTAATGGTTTTGATGGAAATGTGGTAAAGTTGTGGCCTCCAACCACTAGAGGATGTATAGCTAAAACTAGAAGCGACAGGCCAAAAGAACAGGACTTCCTTAAGAATTACTTAGAAATGCAGGTTGCGCAATCTTTTAGGGGCTTTCGGCCTCTAAAGACTAGAAGTCTTTTTGTCCGTAGGCAATCTATGTTTCAAGAAATGTTTTTCGTATCTCATTCTTCTTTTTTAGGTAACGCAACGCAGTTAAAACATCAACATAGATAAGTATATTTATTTGGGCACATTAAGCATATTTACTTATTGTTTGTGGATATAATATTCTAATAATTTTTGCATAACATGGATTTAATTTGAAAATCCGTGTTTGATGACTTGATCCCAATTGAAACGATTATTCCTAATACATGAAATTTCGATCTGTTAGGCAACATTTGGAATGGGACGAAATATGTACCTAGCCCATTATAGAGCAATCATAATGGAAGACCAATTGTAGATTGATCAAAGCTGGCTCATTCACGCTTTTAGCACCTTGTGCCGTCGCTTATGCCCAATTGGGGCAAGAATTCTTGCTTTTGGGATGGATTTGTCTATCCCCGGTTATCACTTTTTTAGTAATTACTATAGTAAAATACACAAAACTTAGTCAAATAAATTAGAGTCTCATTTGATAGATGCTATATATAAGTTAGTGTTATAGATTAAGAACGGATACGAGTTCTCTTGTTGCGATCTGCAGGGCAACCACTTGCTTCCTTTCCAGCGATTGTTATAATTTCATGCGAGCTTCAAGTAAGTAAATCTAGTGAATATCTTGACATGGTAATAATTCACTGATGAATTATGTTAGTGTGGAAAGGAGGGAAACAGAGAATCAGAAGAAAAGCCAAGGCAACGCGAAAACAAATGCAATCATCGAGATTATACCAAATTCAAGCAGGCACCAAACAAGCAATCCTTTCCTCGAAGCCATGATAGGATGATTCTTCAGTTTCATTACGCAATTGAAAATTTGATTCGACGTAAAACTTCCCACACCCTCTAAATAACTGCATCCTTGGTACACCCAAGGATGTGTCCAAACCGTTTAGATCTGTTTACGTTCCCCAATCGAATCGATTACGGAAACACACATGGAAAGTATAAATTCTGGGAAAAAGAGGTGCACATACCTACAGACAGAAAAGTGCAAAGTTTCTAGTCAAAATCTTCGAGTTGCTCGTAATATTCGAGCTGATGAGTTATCTGCGGGATATGAGCGATCTTGTACCAGTCCTCGCCTGCATCTTTTTTGCACCTTTCCTCCAAATCTGGGCAACCTACGATTTTTAGGTGAGTAAGGGAAGCCAGCCTTCGCATTCCTTCGGGTAATGATGTCAACGAGGAGCACCAGACGATCTCAAGCGATTGAAGTGATTGATGGGCCTCGATCTGCTCTGATAAAGCCTTCAAATTGAAGGATTTTTTAATTGAAAGTTGCTCAAGACTGTTGGCTTGTAGAAGCCACGGTGGAAGAGATGCTAGTTTGGGAACATCAACAATGTCCACGGACCGGAGACTCTTAAGTCCTTGTAAATCCAAGATGTTGCCGCTTTCGTCTTTGGATAAATCGAGCTCCCCACAATTCCTAAAATTGAGATGCTGAAGGTTCGATAGATTTCTCATACTGAGTGAGAGGGAAGTTAACCGAGGACACTTCCAGATGATAAGAGATTCAAGTGAAGTGAGACTTTGCAAACACTCGGGCAAACATTCTAAAAGCTCCATCTCCAAGATAATCAGCCGCTTCAACTTGTTAAGGCCAAATATGTGATTTATCAACTCTGGATTGACCTTACTCAGCATCAACTCCTCAAGGTGTGGAATTAGAGGCATTGCTTTCAAGTTTTCACAGTAACCGATTCGTAAGCTTAATAGCCTAGGAAATGATGTTGTTAAAGTGGATGAATGGTCTAACTCAATATATTCCAATTCAGTCAGAAACCAGATCCATAAAGACTCGAGGTGAGGGAGTTGGCCCAGCTGAGGGAGATGCTTACATCTTTGGCAAAGTTGCAAGCTTACCTCAACTAAATTTGGCAAGAAAAACACAAAGGTTTCCATCATCCACCTTGGAAAGCTCTCACCTCTATAGCCATCGATCATCAAATTCCGTAGATTTGAGTGTGGCCTCAGTCCATCTAATAGAGCTTCATCTCGATCCCTGATTACTGCATCATCAGATTCGTGATAGCCCCAGTGAAGTTCCAAAGATTCTAGAGAATGCTTCCCTATCAAGTTTGCAGCCTTGGATTCTAATACTGCGTTTGTTATGCATCCTAAATTTTCAATTCTGAGGCTTCCCTGAATTTCATTAAGCCCATTTAGCTCCCTAAGTCTGCAATAATTCTTAGCACGAGCTTTATCTTTGGGCAAAATGAAGTGCGTCAGCTTATGTAGAGAACTCAATTGCCCAAGTCCATGCGGCACTTAACTAAGTTCCCAACAACCATCTATGTCTAGATTCCAGAGGTTGACTAACTTTCTTATCTCACTTGGCAATTCTTCAAGGGCAATACAATGGGAGAGATTAAGTGTTTGCAAATTCTGCAATCTCTTAATGGAGTTAGGAAGCCTTTTGAGTGCACTATTATGAGAGAGGTCGAGATACGTTAGATGTTTCAACTTACAAATGGACCTTGGCACCTTCCTTACATTTGTGGCATGCATATCCAAGATGCGCAACCTCTTGAAACTTTGAATGAGTTGACGTAGATATGCTTCATTTGTTGATTCTCTTTGTTCCATTTCCTGATATGTAGGTTCTGGCATAGTAGAAAAAAATGTTCTCGGTGCACTTGCTTTCAACCATGACATTGGAAGTTCACCCATTAGACTGAAAGGTAAACCATGACATATATGACGAGTTCTTTCAAATATGGATTTTGTGTCATCTTGTGCCACCCAACACTCGCCCCTGCAACTAAGCAGGCTAGATCATGCATTAAATCATGCATCTTGCAAGTCTCCTCCTTCGTGATTGGATCCTTTTGAAAATCTTGGAAGAAATTACTCAAAAGTAGATCCATGAAATATCCATGAGCAATGTCTTCTAAATTCTGACTTCTATTTGATGGCCGGATAAATCCTTCTGCCACCCAAAGATTGACCAAAGTTTGCTTCTTTATCTCATAATCTTTAGGAAACAATGAACACAATGCGAAACATTGTTTCAAATGTGAAGGAAGATGGGTATAACTTAGCTTAAGAACATATACTACGTGGTCTTCCCTTTGAGACACTTCTGGGAGCTCATCATCTTTGAAGTGTAACCACTCTGGTTTAGTTTTCTTAAAGAATAGTAAACTCCCAACAGTTCAAATAATCAATGGAACCCTAGAGCACTTTCTAACTATCTCTTTGCCGATAGCTAGCATTTCAGGATCTTGCATCTCCTCTTCTTTTCGACAAGCCATTTGCATTAATAAATCAAGAGATGCACTTTCAGATAAGCCGCCGAGAAAATGAGGTTGAGCAGTGCCGGTGATTTCTGCAACCAAAGTAAGGTGAGTAGTTATTAATATCTTGCTTCCTCTAGCACCTCCCACCAATAAAGTTTTCAAGCTTAGCCATGTTTCTCGTTCTACACTCCACAAATCATCTAAAACTAAGAGATATCTCTTTCCATCAATTTTTCCCCTCAGTTCACTTTGCAACCTTTCCATCACATCCTCAATTTTTGTCATCAATTCACTTTGCGACCGTTCCATCACAACCCCGTTCGGTTTCTTCTTCTTTCTACATTCAATCATATTTTTCACTATTTTTTTAACGTCAAAGTCATGAGAGACACAAACCCACATTTGCAAGTCAAAATGTTTACTGATCGTCTCATCATTATATACACATTGAGCGAGAGCCGTTTTTCCAAGCCCGCCAATACCAACAATTGGAAGGATGAAAACGTGCTCTTTCACGTCTGTGTCTAGTAAAAATTCCATAACCTTCTTCTTATCGTCTTCTCTTCCTTTAATATCTCCCTCGCGTATAAATGAATGCGTCTCTGGTCTCTTCCTCCACTCTCTCTCAGGGTGCTCATCCAAGTGGAATCCCCGATCAGCCTTAATGGCTTCTATTCTCTCCCTCACTGCTCTTACTTTGTTACTCATCTTCAATTTAAAAAGCAAGCTGGTTTGAACTTGAGAAAAATGTCCTTACCTCCTTGATCATTTCATTGTGGCCCCTTAATTCTCGTTGCATAGCTTCTATATTGAGTTCTTCAAGCACTTCCTGCGCGTCATAGAAAGCGTCTTTAAGTTTCTCAAGCCAAACTCGAACTTGGCAATTCTGGCAGTATTGCTCTTCTGCATCGTCCAGCACAGCCCGAAGTGTGGAGACGGTGTCTTTGAGCTTCACAAGTTCCTGCTTGATTCCCTATAACTTTCTAACCTTTTCTAGTGCCGGAGGAACGAGCTTAGCAATGATCTCTTCAGCAATGCTCCCTGTTGACACCTAAATTTTGGCGCACCATTTAGTGATTAATTGCATAGAAAATTGGGGATTAAATTTTAACCCCTAAACAAAAATATCAAAATCGCATAGCATATAGTTTATGATCATATAGTTTAATTGAATTTCACATCGGACCGGCAGTGGCGAGTAAGCTGAAAATCCATCGCATAAACCGAGCTCGAGCGTCGAGTGAAACTCGGCTCACTCAAGGGATTGGGGGCCGAAATTCACAAGTCTAAAAGGCTTTGGTTATCTTAATTTGAGCTTAAATTAGCCCAAATTAATTTAGCCCATTTGGAATTAAAATTAAATTAAATGATAAAGTCTAAGTCTAAGCCCATTAGGATTAGGAAGCCCGGTCAATTAACCTAGGGTTGCAATATAAATATGTGATTATACCTTCAATGAAGGGGAACTCTCATAGTTTTCTAGAACGCAACTTATGAGAGCGCGAGGACACACAACATTGAATACACAGCCATCAAGCTCCACGATTTCCACTGTGCCTGTGTTGCTGTTACTGCTTCCCACGTGGTGAAGAGCAGCACGTCCAGTTGGAGCTCCTTCGACGAAGTTCAATTTGATCCGAGCCTCAACGATGAGGCATTCTATTCTTGGAGACGAGCCGATCCCATCGACGCTAGCGATTTTCCTCCGACGCGCTTGCTGTTTCCCGACGAGTTCCCGCGACGATCGGCATTGCTCGCCGAAGTCCAACCCAACTTAGAGTCATTCGGTGGTCAAAGAAATAGGCATCCAACCAAGAGAGGTGCAAGTGAAAACCGTGAGCCAAGGTGGTGGGTTGCATGACCAAAGTAAGACAGAGAGTTTCATCAGCGAATAGAGAATCCCAAGGTGTTGACCAGTGAGTTGTTGCTTTGTTACCTCACCTCGACGCCGATGAGCCAATCGCGACCCACCGCAAGCTCGACGCCAAGCCTGGTCACCGCCGATCCCGTGCCGTCCGTCGCCGTACCCTTGCCTCGCCGCCGTCCATTGCCGCCGGTCCACCGTTGTCGGTCACCCGCCATTGGCCATTCCGCAATCCCGATCCGCCGGTGATTCAAATTTGGAAAGTAATCCGCAAATCAGGTAAAAATCTCTATCCGGTATATTTTCAAAATATTTAAATTCTTAGTTTGAATATTTTGAATATTCTGTGATTATTGCGTGATTGATTAGATACCTTAGGATAATATTTGCAATATCCGCAATATTCTAAGATACCCTAAATTAGGAATTTTTTCTAATTTAGCAATGTATCTGGACGACTATCCGACTTTATCCATAAGGTACGATACGCGGCGATACGGAAAATCGTTATCTTATCCATAATCACTTGGATACGATAATAGATTTTATTCGCTTTCCAAATTCGAATAATCAGTTTTCCGTCAATATCTATAACCCTATAGATATGACTGTTAATTTGATTTCTTTTCCTAATTCAAATTTGATAAGAAGAATGTTGCGGATTGCGTGGATTGTTGAATGCGGTTGTTATATTTGTTTGATTGTTTTTTTTAAAGAAAATAAAAAAAAATGTTTGTTAGGATTTAGATTAGGAGTTTTGCATGTTTAGCAAATCCTAAATGTATCTAGAAGATAGGATAATTATTTAATTTAAATTGGGACTTAAGATAATTTATTTCCTAGTTTAAATTAGGTGTTATTCTAATCCTAATAGATTGTTTAGGTTATTTTTTAATTCCGAATTTCATTGGAAAAATACCAAAAACAAATCATTTGCCCGTCATTAGAAATAGGTCATATTGTCGCATGTCATATAGTTCGCATGCTGGGTCGCATTAATCGCATGTCATTTTTTGCACGTCATTACATAGGAGATCCAGCACAGTCATCTCGAGACCCAGTACAGTCATCTCAAGACCCAGTACAGTCATCTCAGGATCCATGGGGTGGACCACTCTCTAAGTTAGTTTTCATTTTAATAAAGCGCAAACCTTAAAGAACACCTCGAGTGCCTTGTTTTGTTAATTAGAAATCATATTATGATTGTCTGTGTGATTTTTTACTAACAATGCATATGCTTGCGTTGCATTAAGGTAGGTCATTCTCCTAGTCTTGCAATCTATTTATTGCTTTCTTGGGTGTTAAATTGATGGCTTGCGCACCTGCATGAACACCTCACATGTTAATAATTAGGTAATAAAATTGATCCAGACTGCCTGCATAAACATTTTTGAAAAGAAAAGGTACCGAAAGGGCGTTAGATTAGATCTAGTGTAACCAAGTCCCCGAGCTTAGAATTTCTGGTTCGTAGGAATAAAACATATTTCTCTATGTTTTATTTAGGTTTTTAATCGACCTATCACAAATAGATTAGTGGCGACTCCAAACATGAAAACTTTTGTATATTAAAAACTTAAATCCTAAGTCGCGAATTGGTAGGGTTTGGGAGAGCCCAAGTTAGGCTTAGTCTTAATAATCTATTTGCCTAAGAAATTTAGATCGCGACACTCCCGACGACAGCTTCCGCCATTTTTGTTCTCTCTCTACCTCTCTGTGGATTGGAAGATATTAGTCCAGTTGTTCAAAGGCCAGAGACTTCTTGGGACACGTATAGCAAGTTCGTGTTGAAGATAGGATTTCTCATCGGCCACACATGATAGAGGATGAAGCCTGAGCCAATAATGCATATGGGACCCACCGAGGTTGGGCCCGAGGTCCGCGATTGGTTTGTCTAAAGACCTTTCGTGCTCCAAGTGTTTTACTCATCTAACATGCTGACAAGGGCGATGAAGATGCTGGTGTTGAATTGACAGAGATATTTACTTAGCAGATTGGTTTTATCTGACAGTTTCCGAGGCCCAGAAGCAAAGGAGAATAAGACCAAGTTATTTATGTCCGATCTCTGTCCACCTGCTCACATACAATGGTCCCGGACTACAGTCTTCGCATATCACATTCTGAATTATTGGGTTCACAGTCCCCGAGTGCCTGCTCTGATACCAATTGTTGGTTTGCGGAAGTGTACATTTGTAACGTGTATGTGTGTGTGGGACAAGATTTTGGCAGGTGATCAAGCGAAGGAGCAACAAAGGCAAGGAAAAGAAACTGTGTTTAAGTGTATTACTAAAGTGATTGTTGGTCACAAGTGTACAACAAGACTGAGCACTCTTACCTATATATGGGCTCTCTTCCATTGCCATAACACAAAAGGAGTGCTCCACGCGACCTCTTCGTGGACTATTCTATAATTACAAGCTTTAACTACTCTCAAATGATTTTCAACCACACATCTCAACTAACACTAGGGGAACTTCAACACAAGC